ATTAGAAAAGTTTATGGGATTTTCTCTTCTCATGCCACAGCTACTGATGAAAGCATCCAAGTGGGTGTCCACCGACAGTTCCTAACACGCTCCACGTGCAAGTTGAACATGGTTGCTGGCAAACGGTACCTCCTCATGGGGAAAGATGGGCTAACGGTTGATTGCAACAACAAGTAAGTGCAATGGTTTCTGAGCAGCAGTGGCTGCTATCGCGGACTGTGAATCCGGAGGATACTCAAACTATTAGAATACCCCCAGAAAGCAAAGGGAGTGCCAAATTTCCTAGGGACTGATTCTGCTGGCTTTACTAAAGTGCAAAGAATACCACTCTGTAGGCAAAAGGCAAGCTGTGGGGAACAGCTGAGCCACCCATATCTACTGGCTCATCTATCTGTGCAGAGCCTGGTTCCCACATTTCTCAGAATCAAAATCTGGCCCTTACTCCACTGGGTTAAAAACTCACAACTAGAAAAGGAAAATGAGAAACGCTACATGGTTCCATCTGCTGCAGATGCCTTACACAGCTCCTGTGTTTGCAAAATAAATGAGTGAGACTGTGTCTAAGAGCAGCTCTCAAAGCTTCTATTATATCACACATGCAAATAACTCATTCTTCTCATTTCTCATTGTCACACTTTAATGAAAAAAGGGAATTTATCTGAGGAGAAATTTAGTCTGACTCTATTAAGTATTCAGTGAGAAAGCCATCTTGAATGTTTAATTTCCCTGTGCTTACCTGGAGAAAGGTAGTGCCTTTGAAAGCATCTAGGAGGGAGACCACCTCCATTGAATTGTAAGCGCCACTTCCTAAAACCTTAGAAGGTCCCCTCTCTCCATCTCTATATGACACCAATGTGAGTGCGTAAGTTGGGGGCCTGCTTCAACAGATGGCTGCTAAAGACTGAAGTCTCCCAGGAGAGGTGTATCCTCTGAAGTCTTCTCCAGTCCAGTCATAAAATGCCATAAGCTACACGGGCTCTCACCACAGAAAATTAGGAAACATTTTGGGATACTCTGTTGAAACTAAATGCCCCTTCACTGTGTCCCATTGGTGTTCACTAGGGCTTTTTGTGCCTGTCCACAAAATTCTAATAGAAACTTAGCCCAGGCTTACCTGGTGTCACTCAAAACACAAGTACAGCCAGATTTGTCCCAGCTTGGCACTGACTCTACCTAAACCTTATTCAAAGCTCAGTTAACCTGCTGGTAGAACTAGGTTTCAGGCAAGTTTTTTGGCTAGTGTAACTGCTCCTGATCTCAGAGATGCCTCAGTGGAGGGATGCAACCCCACAGGGTTTACACTTTCCTGTTGCTCCATGCCAGCAGTAGTGACTCACCTCCTTCACCTGTCCCACTTGCACTCAGGATGCAGTACTTCCTTGATGCACAAGCCTGGGTAGAGAAAATTCCGGATGACAGCGAGTGCCGCACCACCCTGCACCGGAAAGCCTGTGCTCACCTGCAGGACTTCATGAACACACCTGACAACCTGTGCTTCTTCTGAACGATTGCTCTGCTCCCCACATCCTATCCGTGTGACTGAGACTCAGCTCCTTCCTAAATTTTTCTTGCAAAGCCTGTACATCACAGTAGCACCTGAAACATCGCAGAGCTGCTTCTGTTGCTGTTTTGCTGAATGGGGTATCTTCTTGCAGATGTATATGTGGGGGAGTAATACAACAAAAATTGCAGTTACTCTACTAGTTATTGCGTTTATTGTCCCTGCCACTGGTGAAGAGAGAGCAGGAATTTCTGTCTCCCTGATCCATTATACAACAGTGCAATTATCCTGCAGGGGATCAAATGAAAAATCATTGTGCTTGCAGAGCTGATTAATTCCTGCAGTCATTGTCACTGGACGTTAAAGAGGCCAAGAAATGTGCATGGGTCAGAAAGAAGACTGGGCATTCATGGGCCTACCAAGTACAGCCTGTGTTACGCTGCTACTGAAAGAAAAGAGATACTAGCACTCATGCTTCAGCACATCAGTTTATTTCTGATTTTAATTGTGAGCCCTCATGTAGGGGAACGAATGACCCCACTTGTACCACAGCAGGGTTCCCATATGCACTTCTAAAGCTGGAACTGGAACTGGCCCAGCATCAGGGATGGGCAACTGGACTTGGATGTGTCCTGTGCCTGACCCTGACCCGTGCCTGAGTCCTGCACGGGCTTGTTAGTGCTGGTAGCTCACTGAGGGCACAGAATTGTTTTTTAATTGCACTCTGTAGTCACATTTCACACTTTTCTTTTTTTTTTTAGAGTTTAATTAATTTGCATTACTGTAAAAAAAAACCTGATGCAATCTGTGGTTACATTTTTCTAAAGCATTGCTGCTTCTGTGGCTACGCAAACAGCTCTGTAGACACCGAAAACAGCGTTGTAGTGGAGATGCAAAATTTGTCAGGGAAAGGTGGAGGGGTTGCTGTCACAGTTATAAAGACTTCCACAAATGGCAAACTAAGTTGATGATGAAAAAAAAACCCTAAAACTCAAAACCTCTCCTTTCTTAGGATAAGAAAAAGTCTGTAGAAAATGTTTAGATAACACTGATAAGTAGATGAGTTGCAAATGCAGGTTTTACTTCTTTAGCTTGCCAGCAAAATGCCATTTGGCAGTCATGTCTGAAGCAGAGAAGAGCAGCAATGAAAAGCTGTGTTTGCTGAACAGGTCACCATCCTCAGATGCTCATACACTGTCTTCGTGCCAGCAGTTACTGAGTGCAAAAATTTGCAACCTGGACTGCTTGTGTTATATAGTAGTAAAAATAAGAAGGGTCTGTATCAACATTATGATAATTAGTAGGTCCATGTTGATCTGGTTAATTTGGAGTCAAATGACCCTACTGGATAGGAGGGGCAGCAGTGAGCCTTGGGTGGAGGAGACACCACATGGCAGCAGCACCTACTAGAACAGCTACTCCAAAAGAGCCTTCAGATTCATAGCAGACAGCCCATAACTGTTTGCCAGCACTATGAGCTGCCCAGCTATTTTTGAAGGCTGTAAACTCAGGTATAATGATAGCTGAACTCGGATATCTGCAGTGATGTGCCCTGCTCAGCTGCCAGGCATTGCATGGTTGGAGGGTGGGGAAGGCTCATTTTATGGAAACCTGCACCACCGCTTCATGAAATCTGCAGGGGAAGATAAGAAACATCCTGAGGGTGAAAGACAGAGACTTAAATTAACATAAGATAATTTGTTTTCCTTAAGGCTTTCCCCAGTATATTGGGTTTGCATAGCAAGGTTTTGGTATTGGGGAGGCTACAGGGGTGGCTTCTCTGAGAAGCTGCTAGAAGCTTCCCCCATGTCTGATATAGCCAATGCCAGCCGGCTGCAAGACGGAACCACCGCTGGCCAAGGCCGAGCCCATCAGCGATGGTGGTAGCA